TAGGTGTATGGGGTCTATGGGTGGGTGTATGGGGTCTATAGGTAGCTATATGGGGTCTATAGGTAGGTGTATGGGGTCTATGGGTGGGTGTATGGAGTCTATAGGTAGGTGTATGGGGTCTATGGGTAGGTGTATGGGGTCTATAGTTAGCTATATGGGGTCTCTGGGTAGGTGTATGGGGTCTATGGGTAGGGTCTAGATGTAGGCTCTGCAGCGTAGGCTGTGCTATAGCTCTATGCAGAGCACCATGGAACATCAGAGGGACAATGGATAATTAACCCCACCCAAGACAACCAAAGAGAATATAGAGCAGATCAAACTGTGATAAAGGTTTCACAGATAAACAGGCAGAGTTGGCCAACTGAATATGATAAAGGTCCCAACGGGCAAGGGAACCACATGAGCAAAGGAGATTTTGGGAGACAATAGGTGGTCCGTGGAAGCAGTTCTTTTGGTTTGGTTTGGTTTGGCTTATTTTTGAGACAGAGTATTGCTCTGTCGCCCAGGCTGGAGTGCAGTGGCGCAATCTCAGCTCACTGCAACCTCCGCCCTCCGGGTCCAAGCGATTCTCTCACCTCAGCCTCCTGAGGAGCTTGGGTGACAGGCACCCGCCACCACATCCAGCTAATTTTCATATTTTTGGTAGAGATGGGGCTTCACCATGTTAGCCAGGCTGGTCTCAAACTCCTGAACTGAAGTGATCCGCCCACCTTGACCTCCCAAAGGGATGGGATTGCAAGCGTGAGCCACCGTGCCCGGCCTGGAAGCAGTTAGTTTTGGAGATGGGGAGAAGACAAACGTGGAGAAGCTGGCATGGGCCAACCTTGAAAGCCTCAACCACGAAATTAAACTTTAAACTCCAGTCGTGATTGGCAAAAACTGATACATGCCCCCACCATACTCCTGGGCTCATAACAGTCATCATTAATCAATCAAGATCCAACAGCAAGCCAGTGAGTCCAGATTCCTTTCAGGACATGGCTTCTTGCACCTACCATGAACAGCTTCCCTGCTAAATATTGCCATTTTTTTTTTTTAAGATGGAGTTTTGCTCTTTATTGCCCAGACTGGAATGCAGTGTCACAATCTTGGCTCACTGCAACCTCCGCCTCCAGGGTTCAAAAGATTCTCCTCCCTCAGCCTCCTGAGTAGCTAGGATTATAGGCACGCACCAGCACACCCCTCAAATTTTATATTTTTAGTAGAGATGGAGTTGCACCATGTTGCTCAGGCTGGTCTCAAACTCCTGACCTCAGGTGATCCACCCACCTCAGCCTCCCAAAGTGCTGGGATTACAGGCGTGAGCCACTGCACCCAGCCTGCCAAAGATTTTAACAGGAGGAAACAGAAAATGACATGATCAGATGTTTATGCATTGTAGGATTTTTTTTAAGATTTATGATCCCAATTATGTCTGATTGAATATTAAAATTAGTCTGAAACTACTGTGCACACACCATCTGGCCAAGAAGACTTAGCCCAGAAGCCTGCTGGGTGAAGAGGAAGTGAGCCGGGAATGGGAATTCTTTTGTCAATAATCCCCCAGCCGATAATGAGAAACTGATTTGCACTTGGCCTGCTTAGAGAACTTGGGTGATGACGTGTAGGCTGTTAAAGCCAGCAGGTCTTTGAATTTCACAGTGTCCAGTGCCCAGAGAGGGGGTGACACTTGCCCAAGATCACACAGCAAATTAATATCAGATGCCAGACTAGAAGTAGGCTTTTCTGATTCTGGGACTGATTCCCAGTCCAAGATACTTGTCCCCTCCATTCAAGCCACTTCCTCTAACTGGGAAACTTGCAAGGATCATCAACGAATTGGGATGACGTCAAAGCATACAGTGACATGGAGAGATTTGCTTGGGAAACATTTCAGTTAATATAGCAAAAGCATGTTCCACTGATCCATCATATTTCTGGGCCGCCACAGGATCACAATATCCCTAGCAACTAGGAGCTCAACCTAGCAACTGCAGCTGGAGCAAACAGAGGGGCAGAAGGCGTCTTACCAACATACTCTCCGTTATTTATGAGATCTCAAAGTAGCAGAAAAAGGACGCCAAAAGGACAGTGCCCACACATTTATTATGACTCCCCCCGTCACCTATGAGCATTTGACTTTAAGTTACAGGAGGACTGCATCATCTGCCAGGTGCTCGTGTGAAGAGAATGAGAAAACTTCCGCTAGAGTTCATTTGCTTCTTTCTCTTCCTCGCCCCCTCCCAATGTCTTTTTCTGAACAGATGTGAATCAATAAATACATGTTTCTGATCCAAAATGATGAGGATCATGAAAACGCTCACAGTTCCTTAAACTTCCAGAGAGCCAGCTGTTCTTCAAACACCTCTGCAGAGTGCCCTGATAAAAGGAACTCTTTGGATCAAAATCATGAAGATAGAAAGAAGTCAAGTGAATGGAATAAGTCAACTCACAACCCAAATGTCTATCAGCAGGAGAACGGAGTAACAAAGAGTGATATTACCCAGAACGCAGCATTGGAGAGCTACACAGCAGTGAAAAAGAACAAGCCACCCAGACACAGAGACATACAGGCGTCTCACAGACCCAGCGCTGAGTCTAAGAAGCCAGACACAAAAGCCTGCACTGTGTGTTTCTGTAAAGGTATGCAAAGTTCACGAGCGGGTGAAACTAACATAGGGTAAGAAGTCAGATAACAATTCTGGAGTGAGATGGGTACTTCCAACGGATATTGCCTGAGAGGGGGCTCAAAGGAGCCTTTGGTGGAATAAGGAATGTTCTGTATCTTGATCTGGGGGATAGTTGCTGGTATGTTTCATCATATTAACGTCGGCCAGGTGTGGTGGTTCATGCCTGTAATCCCAGCACTTTGGGAGGCTGAGGTGGGAGGGGTTGACTAGCCTGGGCAACAGAGTGAGACCCTGTCTCTACAATAAAATTAAAAATCTGCCAGGCATGGTGGCATGAGCCTGTAGTCCCAGCTACTCAGGAAGCTGAGGTGGGATGATTGCTTGAGGCTTGGAAATCGAGGTTGCAGTGAGCCACGACGGCACCACTGCACTCCAGCCTGGGCAAAAGAGAGGAACCCTCTCTCAAAAAGAGAGAAAGACAGGGAGAATATCAACATCACTGAGCTGTACACTTAAAATCAGTCTACTTTATGCACTCTATGTTTTACGTCAACTTTCGAAAATCAGTGGATAAGAAAAGTCAAATCATAAGATGCCCAGGGTTTGACTGAGGTGAAATCTCAAGGTCAAAGTCTGCAGGTAATTTAGTGAAAGAAAAGAAAATCCAAAATGTTCTCTCTCCATTAAACCAGGCTGGGTTTACAGCGCCCAGGAGATTCGTACAGTGCAGAGAGAGAAGCCAGGCTTCCTGTGGAGCCAGACGGAGCTGGATGCCCTCTCGACTCTGTATTCCCAACCCCACGACTATACTCAAGTCCCTTCCATGCGTGGAGGCTCGTTTCCACATCTTCAAAGAAGAAATGAGGCCACGTGTGGTGACCCACGCCTGCAATCCTGGTACTTGGAGAGGCCAGGGTGGGAGGATCGCTTATGCCTAGGAGTTTGAGACCCGCCTGGGCAATGTAGCAAGACCTTTTATCCATTAAAAATATATATAAAAATTAGCCAGGCAGGGCGACAGGTGCCTGTAGCCCCAGCTACTTGGGAGGCTGAGGCAGGAGAATTTCTTGACCCAAGGAATTCAAGCTGTGAGCTATGATCGCACTGCTGCACTCCAGGCTGGCTGACAGAACAAGATCCTGTCTCAAACAAAATAAATAAATAAAATGGACATCATATCTTAGCATCCTCCCAGGGCTGCTATGTGGACTAAATGAGTTTATGTATGTAAATAAAGCACCCAGCACGGCTGGGCGCAGCGGCTCACGCCTGTAATCCCAGCACTTTGGAGGCCAAGGCGGGCAGATCATGAGGTCAGGAGTTTGAGACTAGGCTGGCCAACGGAGCGAAACCCCCGACTCTATGAAAAAAAATACAAAAAAATTAGCCGGGCAAGCTGGTGGGGCACTTGTAATCCCAGCTACTCAGGAGGCTGAGGCAGGAGACTCGCCTGAACTC